GGCTCTCTGCACATGTGCAAAGTGCAGAGAGCGAGAGAGCGGCCCGTCATTCAGGAGCGGGCGGGAAGCGAGGCTCCCTCCGAGCTGCGGAGTCTGGTGAGCAGAAATCCGACTTGGTGAGCATTACAGATGTGAGCGAGCGGATTTAAGGTGAAGAGGGAGCAGAAAGAGGACATCTTAAAAGTGGCTATTATAGTGGATGTGTGTAGTAGGCATTTTGATAAATATGTAGAAACTAAGATCATGGCATCCGGCCCCATCACTCCTTGGCAAATAGAAGGGGAAGCTGTGGAAGTGGTGACAGACTTCACGTTCCTGGGATCCCAGATCACCGCAGACTGTGACAGCAGCCATGAAATTAAAAGACGCCTGCTCCTTGGGAGGAAAGCGATGGCGAACCTAGACAGCATGATAAAAAGCAGAGACACCACCCTGCCAACAAAAGTCCGCATGGTCAAAGCAATGGTCTTCCCAGTAGTCATGTAGGGCTGCGAGAGTTGGACTATAAGGAAGGCCGAGCGCCGAAGAATAGATTCTTTTGAACTGTGGTGCTGGAGAAGACTCTTGAGAGTCCCTTGGACTGCAAGGAGATCAAATCAGTCAATCCTAAAAGAAATCAACCCTGACTGTTCCCTGGAAGGCCAGATCCTGAAGCTGAAGCTCAAAGACTTTGGCCACCCAATGAGAAGGGAGCACTCACTGGAGGAGAAGACCCTGATGCTGGGAAAGACTGAAGGTCAAAGAAGACGGGGACGGCAAAGGATAAGATGGTTAGACAGTGTCATAGATGCAACAAACATGAAATTGAGCAAACTTCAGAGGACGGTGGAAGACAGGAGGGCCTGGCGGGATCTAGTCCATGGGGTCGCGAAGAGTCGGACTTGACTGTGTGACTGAACAACAACAATTTATTTGAAGTAAAAGAAATCAAATACAAGTATATATGTATTAAATGTTGGTGAATATGCATTATTGTGGAAAACCCAATAAAAAGTATTATTTAAAAAAAAAAGATGTGAGCAAGCAGTTTGTCCACTGCATAAATTAGTTTGCTCTGGAGCCATCCTGCCTGAGCCAAGACAAAAATGTGTGAGCTGGAGGCTAAAAACCTGTGAGCTAACTCACACTCAGCTTAGAGGGGACACTGGTGGGAAGACGGTCCCCGTGGGCAGCGTGTTCCCCCTAAGCGGAGTCGGGGTGAGCCAGCTCGCCGTTTCTTAAGCCTCCGGCTCACAGACCCTTTGTCTTAGCTCGGGAAGGAGGGAGTCCGGAGCAAACTGCTTTATGCAGCAGCCAAATCGCCGGATCGCGACATTCGTGCCAGATAGATCCAGGGGGGCAGCAAGGCTCCCTCTGAGCTGCGGAGTCTGGTGAGCCAGAATTCCACTTTGTGAGCTCCTGGCGTCAAAGTTGTGAACGGGCGATTTGCCTCCTGCATAATTTAGTCTGCTCCGGAGCAATTCTCCCTCTAAGCTGTGGACCCTTGTGAGCAGAAATCCTACTTTGTGAGCCAGTGGCATTAAAGTTGTGAGCCAGCCATTTGGCTGCTGCATAAGTTAGTTTGCCCTGGAGCCCCATACTTCCTGAGCGAAGACAGAAATGTGTGAGACAGAGGCTAAAGAACTGTGGGCTAGCTCACAGTAACTCATCTTAGAGGGAACACTGCTCCGAAGCCAGGCCCCTAGCCAGGATTTTGTCATTTAGGGGGCTTTTAAATAAGTTAGGGGGCACTGATGTTGCAAAATAAAAATTTTAAAACTCACTTTTGTGGCATTCGCACTCTGCTTGCCTACCTGGGGAGGCAAGCCACGCTTGGGGAAGGGGCGGTGGTGGGGAGTCCTCCAGGTGGCCCAGAGAGCCAGGGGGGCTGGGGGCTGGATGGAAGTTAGGGGGCCAGGCCCCGAAATGCCCCACTGTAGCTACAGGCCTGTCCGGAGCCCTCCTTCCCGAGCTAAGACAGAAATTTGTGAGCCGGAGGCTAAAAAAACTGTGAGCTGGCTCACACTGACTCAGCTTAGAGAGAACACTCCTCCACATCAATGCTCCCCCTAAACTGTGGAGTCCTGTGAGCAGAAATTCTACTTGGTGAGCTACATACATCAAGATACAAGTAAATCCAGTGACTATTCCCAAAAAGACATGGGTGAAAAAATTACAGAAGAAGAAGAGATTGGATTTCTACCCCGCCCTTCACTACCCAAAGGTGTTTCAGAGCGGCTTACAAACTCTTTGGGGCTCAGAGAGCTCTGACAGAAACGGCTCCTTTGGCTCTTATCAGAGCTGCGGCTTGCCCAAGGTCATCCAGCCAGATGCAAGTGGAAGAGTTGGGGAATCAAACCCGGTTCTCCCAGATTAGAGTCCGCGCACTTAACTACTACACCTTCCTTGAAAGCCACAAATCAAAAAGCTGGAAGCCTAATTAATAACACATGTTACGGCTGCTAGCAGGTCCTTTTGAGTTACTTTACTATTTTCTTCAATATGAAGCGAGATTCTTTCTTGCACGATAACAAAATGAAGAGCTGAAGAGACCAGTTTCTGTCAGATAGGCTCACTCAATGTAGGCTTACCGATTTACTGTGACCTTGAGATTTACTTGTATCCTGATATATGTATTTCTCCTATATAATTGCAAATAGATTTTCATGCAGCTTTTATTCAGAACAGGTCTACCCTCCCCTTTCCACTATATTGATCGACCTGGCCTCCGGAGAACAGGTCTCCCCACCCCGGTCTCCTGTTAAAGAGAACATATATTATTGAGACTCACCTATTGTTGCAATTCAACTTCTGTATAAGGAGCAAGCCAGTCCCTTTTCTTACGTAGGTACCAAACCTTCTGTTCCATGGCTGGCATAGTGCTCTCAAACGATACAAGCAACTGAGTCTTTGTGAAGGAAAATAGTTCTCTAATTTTTATAAAGAGCACACCACTCATCTTTCTTTTGTTTTATGGCTGGCAAAGCATGCTCTAAGAATACTAAGAAGTAATGCTTCTTAAGAGGCTCTCTTTCCCCCGATTCCTTTATTTAGTGTATTGTTCTCTGTGTTTTTAAGGTAGTTCCTTCGTGAAGACTCAGTTGCTTGTACCTTTAGAGAGCGTTTTGCCAGCAATAGAACAGAAGATTTTGCGCTTGCTTATCAAAAGGGGCTGGCTTGCTCCCTATGTAAAAGCTGTATTGTGACAATAGGAACATAACCACGGAGCAACAAGAGGAAGACAATGAGGAATGAATACTGAAGAAGCTGGAACACAAAACGCGTTTATACTAGTTATACTCGTCTTGTTTCATAATAACACAACGATGAGCCCTTTTGAAAAGGGTGGTATAAGATTATTTCAAAGGTGGTTATTGTTGTTTTTTCCATGTTAATGATAATCGTGACATTTGTATAAAGGTTCACTAAATGAAGTACGGCAACCTCCAGGTGAAGACAGGAGATCTCCTGGCATGACGGCTGATCTCCAGACGACCGTGATTAATCCCCCTGGGGAAAGTGGGTGCTTCTAAGGGTGGGCTCTATGGCATTGTACCCCGCTAAGGTCCCTCCCCAAACCCCACCCTCCCAAGGCTCCACCCCCAAATCTCCAGGAATTTCCCAACCCAGAGTCGGGAACCCTGGTACTCATACATACCCCCCCCCCCAGCAAAAGTTGGCACTTTACATGCCTGACGAAGTGGCCAGTCGCTTAAGCTGCAACAAAGACATTTGCTAGAGTTTGACATGACCCGAACTTTCCATTGCCTGCAGGGGTGGATCCAGGCTCACCGGGGCCCTAAGCACTGACCAATCTTAGTGCCCCCCTCCTTTCCACACTGACCCCCCCGTCCGTTTTAGTCGCTGACCTGTCTGACCAGATAGACAATGCAGGTTGCAGCAATAGCAGGTAGAGAAAGAGGTACTTTTCTCCCTTTCTCACAATACAAGAACTCGTGGGCACTCCATGAAATTGCTGAGCGGTCGGGTTAGAACGGATAAAAGGAAGTACTTCTTCACCCAAAGAGTGATGAACACTTGGAATTCACTGCCACAGGAAGTGGTGGCGGCTACAAGCATGGACGGCTTCAAAAGGGAATTAGATAAGCATATGGAGCAGGGGTCCATCAGTGGCTATTAGCCACAAGGTACAGATAGGGGCTCTGGGGCAAGTGATGCTCTGTCTTCTTGGTGCTTGGGGGGGGCAACAGTGGGAGGGCTTCTAATGTCCTGGCCCCACTGGTGGACCTCCTGATGGCCTCTGGTATTTCTGGCCACTGTGTGATACAAAGTGTTGGACTGGATGGGCCTTTGGCCTGATCCAACATTGGCATCTCTTATGTTCTTAATACAGAAATGTATCCATGTGATAACACAATAGACTGTGCAAACGAAGCTTTTCGCCCTTCCCCCAACTTTGTGGTGCCCCCTTTGGCCCCGGTTCCCTGAGCACGTGCCTTCCTCCGCTTCATGCTTAATCCGACCCTGGTTGCTTGTGATCCATGAAGTGACCTCTAAATTTCCCATTTGCTTGTGAAGGCCAAGCAAAAAAAAAAAAAACAAATTGGGGGGGACACACGTAAAAAACGTGGACGAGAAGACACAGAATACTGCTCTGTTGTTGCAGTGACAAAATTATGTTTTTTTCCCTGTCTGCTCCAACATACATACAAGACGACAATGGGCGTTATTTATCAAAATCCTGCTGCCCAGTTTCTCCACAGCCCCTCCTTACAGTCTTGCCACAGAGGTGAAGGCCTCTCTGAGCTGTATCCAGCAACTTCTTTCTTCCTTTTCTCCTCCCACCCAGAGACGGAGCAGAAACACCACAAATGGATGAAGCGGGCAATACTTCTTTTCTTTAGCTGGCCCCCAGATGTCTAGTGAGGGATATGGGGGGGGGGGGGGACACACGGGCGGGAGAAAAGAGATCTTGTGTCCTTTGAGAAGAACGGCTGTGAGGGCTGTGGCCATAAGGGAGGCAAGGGGGCAAGCCGGAGGTCATTCCGATGCTCTGAAAGTGAAGAAGTCTGGCTGGGCATCCCGATGGCTCTCTGCGGCTTCCTGGTCTCTTTTCTTCTGGGAAAGAAAGCCAAGGTGGAAAGAAACGGGTCAGACCAAAGAATGAAAGGGAAAATAAAAGGAAAAGGGATGAGCTCTGGATTATGAATTAAGGAATATACTTTTGGCGGATTCTAATCCTCAAATTAGGCTCGCTCGCTCCAGATTTTTGGTTGCGGCTTCTAGGATCGGCAATGATTACATAAAGGAGTAATATAAACAGGGGTCGTTTCCTGCCGGGGCACGCCGGAACTGCGCTCTGGCAGTAAGGCGCCCTGGGCCGGGGCAGCCCCACCCCACCCCTGCCTGGGGGGGATTTAAATGCCTTTCTTTCCCCATCTGGGGAAGGGAAAGAAAGGCATTCTAAGCATGCCTGGGTTCCCTGCCTGATCAGGCAGGGAATCCAGGCATGCTTGCATGCCAGCCCTTTGTCAGGGGGTGTGGCCTATGCAAATGATCCCCTGCACCTGTTTTTCCACGAAATGACCCCTGGATATAAATGTTCCCTAGGCTTTGCATCCCCCCCCCCCAAGAATATTATAAGTTCCCAACCAAATGAGAAGGGAGCACTCACTGGAGAAGACCCTGATGCTGGGAAAGATTGAAGGTCAAAGAAGACGGGGACGGCAAAGGATGAGATGGTTAGACAGTGTCACAGATGCAACGAACATGAAATTGAGCCAACTTCAGAGGACGGCGGAAGAGAGGAAGGCCTGGCGTGATCTGGTCCATGGGGTCGCAAAGAGTCGGACTCGACTGCGCGACTGAACAACAACAACTTCTTTTAAATACTTTCTTCTTTGTGCGTTTTACTGTAATATTCCCATACGAATGGCTATGCACTTTCTGCGTTTTACGCAAATGAGTTTGCTTCGATTTATGCTGGCCATAAATAAACGGGAGAAGCAAGGCAAGAGGGTGAGCTCCGCGTACAGCCACACAGCTGCTCAGCTAGCACGGCCTGAAGCAGCAACGTTCTCAGCCGTGGGTATCCTGGAGCGACAACTTACCGGTGCGATCGTGAACACGCAGTTATCAAAGGACAGCTCTGAGGAGGGAGAAGTGTGAATCAGGTTAATAGGTAGCCCAAGTCCAAAGATATCGAGACAACATTTAAATAGATGGGGGTCCTCCAGCCTTTTTGACCCCGCAGGCGCCTTTGGACTTCGTACGCAGCAGCGTTGGTGGGCACAGGCACGAAATGGCTGCCGCAGGAGGCAGAACCAGCCACAAAATGGCTGCCACATCACCCACAGGCACCCTGTTGGGGACCCCTGAAGCAGATGTTCTCCACTGTAAACAACCAAACAGCAAGCCATGATATTTGAGCTCTGCTGGTCATGTGTGTGACCCCAGAGACATAAGAAGGAGAAGAGAAGAGGAGATTGGATTTATACCTTGTCCTTCACTACTCAGAGGAGTCTCAGAGCTGCTGACAAACCCCTTTCCCTTCCCCTCCCCACAACAGACACCCTGTGAGGTAGGTGGGGCTGAGAGAGCTTTCACAGAAACTGCTCTTTTTCAAGAACAGCTCTGACAGAACTATGGCTTGCCTAAGGTCATCCAGCCAGGTGCAGGTGGAGGAGGAGTGGGGAATCGAACCCGGTTCTCCCAGAGTAGAGTCCGCGCACTTAACCACGACACCAAACTGGCTCATAATTTAAGGAGTTAGTGTCACAGCTGATGACAACATCAGATCCAGAACTTTAGCTGCTCTTTGCCTGCAAGATCGTGGTTTAAATCCTGTTTTGTTAACTACGTTCAGAGGGTGGCTGTTTGGGAGCCTGCCTGCCTCAATAAGACTGCAGGATGTCGCAGGGCTCCATATTGTCCCCAGCCCTCTCAGAAATCTGTGGGAAGGCCTTGAGGGAAATCATTTGGAAGTCTAGCGGGCTCTTATCAATACGCGAATGACAAGCAACTATATTTGTGTCAGCCATTTTGGGGCTTCCATCTTTCCCTCGGGTCAGTGTCTGTCAGCCACAGTCAAGCGGCCGAAGGAGATCAAGCCGAAGGTGGCTCCAGCCAAGAGAGAGATGCTGATAAGTGTCAGGAACAACAGCAAGTAAATCTCCACACACGATTCCTGGGAAACGTTAGGCTTTATTAGATTACAGGTCCGTTGCCATGGTCTACAGGGATATTGTTAGGAATGACAATGGGGTGGGTGCATCCCTTCATATAGCGTGATGCTGCAAAGGGCTAAGCAAATGAAATCCAAGCGCGCGGGGGGGAATTCTCCCGGCGGGAGGTTACATAATGAGCGGGAGAGTCTCCGTGCCTCATGAGAGCAGAAATAGTTACACCAACGGTGGAACGCAAGCCCTCCCTCCTCCTCGAGGTTATTCAGATAACCCAGTCTGGCAGCGCCAGTTCGCACGGTTTCAGGAGCGTCTCCCTATCGCTGTTTACAGCAAGCTAGCAAAGGAAGCGGGCAAGCATGCGCCGTAGCGCCACAGTCAGGAAAGGACAGGTGGACATCAAAAATGGCAGCTAGCTGACAGTAAGAAGGATGAAGGCCTCTCACCTGTTCTTGCCTGACTCGGCAGGGTTGTTGGATCCTCTCCTTCTGGAAGAGGTTAAAGCGGTAGCAAAAAGGGCACTGTTAACCCGCATTGGACATAGAAATTGGCCCCGTTTAGTTTCAGTTACTCTGGCTATGACAACCCACGCTCCGGTAACCTTGAAGGTACCTTGATGCATTCTGTATGGGGGGAGCACCTGAAGACAACCCGGAAACATCCACTTGTGCAGAATGATGTGACTTGTTTGCTGCCTTCTTTACTACCTGGCATCAACTGCAGTTCAACGAGTTAAGCTTTGAGAATGACAGGAGTACTCCGTCCATGAATGTTAGCTGCATAATGTGTCTTTTGTAGGACCAGCAATAAAAAAAAGCATCCATAAAACTATTAAGAAAGCTCTCCCCCTTTTTGGAAGACTTCATGCAAGGAGAAGCGGGCGGTTCTGGAAACTCCCGTTGGGGCCAGTGTTCCCTCTAAGCTGAGTTAGTGTGAGCCAGCTCACAGTTTTTTAGCCTCCGGCTCACACATTTTTGTCTTAGCTCATGAAGGAGGGCTCCAGAGTAACCTAATCTATGCAGTAGCCAAGTCACTTGCTCACAACTTTGATGCCAGTCGCTCACAAAGTGGAATTTTTGCTCACAAGACTCCACGGCTTAGAGGGAACATTGGTTGGGGCTTGACTTTTAAAACACTGATGCAAAATGGTCTGGTAGTTATCCATCTGTATGTACTGAATGTTATTGCTTATTGAATGTAATGAATATTTGTACCTGACTAGGATGAAATAATGATACACTATGCACTTTACTAAATGATGATTATAAATAGAACACATTAGTTTGTTATAAGGTTTTTGCAGTGTATATTTATTTGTTGCTAGAGCCTCCAGGTGAGGCCTGGAGATTTCCTAGAGTTACAACTGATCTCCAGTTGACAGGGATTGGTTCCCCTGGAGGAAATGGCTGCTTTGGAGGGTGGAGTCTATGGCACTATACCCCAGTCAGGTTCCTTCCATCCCCAAACCCTGCCCTCCCCGGGATCTGTGTCCAAATCTCCAGGAATTTCCCAACCCAGAGCTGGCAACCCCTCTCGACCTGGAGGCGGGCAGTCCCATCCTGGGGGGGGGGTATATCCTGAGGACTGCCTCTCCCAAGACACCACCGCGTGACTGAGGACCCACATACCTTTGGGACCATCACTCCCAATACACCCCTAGACGGCAGGGCCGAGGAGATTGCCACCCTGGAGGCGAGCCAGATTAGCACCTGCCCACCACAGCGCGTTTCCGGTGGTGGCTCCTAGGGTGGGACAGCCATTCCGAGCAGATCCCATAAGACCAGGAACTTCAACGGTAGAGCAAAACTGAGCTATTTAGATCGGCCTTCCAGTAGATAAATGTTTTCTAGTTGTCTGGAGTTGTTTTAATCTGTTTTATGGGTAGATTGTAATTAGTTGGGCTTATTTGGTGTAGTGGTTTGGTGTAGTGGTAGAGCCAGTGTGGTGTAGTAGTTGAGTGCGCGGACTCTAATCTGGGAGAACCGGGTTTGATTCCCCACTCCTCCTCCACTTGCACCTGGCTGGATGACCTTGGGCCAGCCAGAGTTCTGATAAGAGCTGTTCTTGAAAAAGAGCCGTTTCTGTCAAGAGCTCTCTCAGACCTGCCTACCTCACAGGGTGCCTGTTGTGGGGAGGGAAAGGGGAAGGAGTTTGTAAGCCGCTCTGAGACACCTTTGGGTAGTGAAGGGTGGGGTATAAATCCAATCTCTTCTTTTTCTTCTATTTTATGGCATACCTTTAAAATTATTGTAAGATGCCTCGTGTCCTTTTGGCGAGAAAGGCAGGCTGAAAAAGTAGGGTTGCCAGCGCTGGGTTAGGAAATTCCTGGAGATTTTTGGGGGGGTGGAGCCTGGGGAGGGCAGGGCTTAAGGAGGGGAGGGACCTCAGCTGGGTACAATGCCACAGAGTCCACCCTCCAAAGCATTCATTTTATCCAGGGGAACTGAACAGTGTAGTCTGCTGGCCGGTTGTAATTGCAGGATATCTCCAACCACTACCTGGAGACTCCGAAAATCGGCTGCATCTCAGAGGCTCAGCTATTGGTTAGTTTGATTGCTTAATAACATCCTATTTGGGACTTCCGGTTTGTGGCGCGCCGTCGGAGGGCCCCCAATTGCATGAAAAACAAGAAAGTGACTTTAAAAGAAAATGGGCGAGGGTTTATAAATGGATACAAAACTATCTTGGAGAACTTAATACATGAAACGTATCAAAAACTTTACTGACACAGTCTAGAAGACCTAGAGTTTATAAGCATACTGTAACTTAAGCTGATGTAAGAGTATAGTGTCCATTCTGTTAGCAATTTTTCTGTTCTGTGTCAAAATCATTTGTTACGAGGGCTGGATCTGACATAAGTGTCACTTTGTTGGACCAAACCATGTACGCCATAAAATGTAATGGCAGGTTCAGGAGATATAAACTGTAAGGACAGCAGCTGGTAAGCTCCGAGTTGGTGTATCGTCACTGCAAGCCCTCATGCATTAGGAAGGAGGTGCAAAGGAAAACCCGGATGGGCGGACTGGACAGCCGGTGGTGCAGCACTGGGCAGACACTCCTACACTGTCTGACTGCTGCAGACAAAGTTGTTCCGTCATGCTGAAGCCACAATCAGGGTGGTCTGCCCACTCCCCCTTGAGCAGTCTCCCGTTCCCTCCCTTACGCCAGATGCTTGCAGGCCGCATAAAAGCCCTGGACAAGCCGGATCCGGCCCCCGGGCCGTATGTTTGACACCCCTGATGTAGATGATGGTGCGACATAAGTAGAAAAACAAAGGAGTGAGAGTATGATAACACACGTAGCGAAGAGATAAACACATCCTAATCACAGTAGAACAAAGTTCAATTCCAGAGGCACCTTTAAGACCGACAAAGTTTTGTTCAAGGTATAAGCTTTCGGGTGCACGCACACCTCTTCAGATACAGTGAAACAAGATGTTCTCAGCCATTACATATAGGTAGGGGGGTTAGTTGCCAGGAAAGGTTCATTAGAGACTTTTGGAATATGCAAGGTCTATTGTGCATAAAGAAGATGACAAGAACATCCTGCAGGGGGCAGCAGAGGGATGGGCACCACATACAGCCACACAACTCAGCAATGTATTTAGCAAACATTTGAATTCCCCCGCTATACTTTTCCAGGCAATACTTGTCAGATTTTGCGAATACTAAACTGAATAATCCACAGTGGCACGGAAGCTCCCACCTGCACTGGGAAATACTGGGAGATTTGGGGGGCAGTGCCCATGGAGGGTGGAGCTTCAGGAGGAAGTGGCATCACGTCTGGGTGGTGTTCCAGGAATGAATGCCCCCCATGGTAAAGTCCATAGAAATTGGGAAATTCCTACAGCATTGTGATTAAAGCTATTTTCCTCTATTTTTCAGCCTCTCAATTATCAAGGGTGGGGGATTGAGAGTGCGCATAGGGGGTCTCCTGCTGCCAGCCAATCCACGGAAAGCCCACCCCCCACCCCATACGAGCTGAGACACCATTCCTGAAATAATACTACCAAATTTTGTTTCCGTTAACTATACCTAGGCCCCGGTCACACGGCAAAGTTGCCATGGTAGAGGCACGGATGGTGGGCGGATTATCCGGGCGCGATCACACCCCAACATCTGGGAAGTGGAGCGCACCCGTGGCTTACCACCGACAATGCGCGTTAAAAAACTAGTACCTCCAAGGTACTAGTAAACGTTTGCCACGGGCTGCCTCCAGACACCTGTGGTGTGATCGCGCCGGCGCGCGGCATTCCCCTCCGGTCCCTTGTTTACCCGCTGGCACGAGGGAAGGACCGGTGGTGTGCCGCCAGCGCATCTGATCGCATAATCGTGGATCAAACTGTGCCAGGGCAATTAGCCACGCCTCCCCCCGCAATATCCGGCCCGTGTGGCCGGGGCCCAAGTGCATAAAATTAATCTCTAGCTTTGATTCTCTATAATGACTGCTATGTTTATTTCTCTTTTTATTCACAAGGGATCCAGGTGTTCCAGTTAGGATTGTACTGCAGTTCAGCATAGGGTAGGGCTGCCAAGTGGGGGCGGGTGGCGGGTAAACCCCCGCTTCGGAGGCCCGATTTCCGCCGCTGCGGAATCGGGCCCTGGAGGGAACTCCGCCCCCCGAAGCGCAGCATGGCTGCGTCACCAGAGGTGACGCAACCACATCAATCTTGTTGGCGTGGCCCCGATCGTCGAAGGGAAAACACTATGGTTTTCCCTCTGACGATCGGGGCCACGCCTTCAACGTGATTGACGTCGCACGTCACTTCTGGTGACGTGCTGGCAGCGCGCGCACATCAACGGACAGCTCCCCCACCGGTAAGATATTTTGACTTGGCTACCCTAGCATAGGGTTGCCAGCCTCCAGGTGGGGCCTGGTAATCTCCAGACTACAGGGATCAGTTCCCCTGGAGAACATGGCTGCTTTGGAGGGTGGGCTCTAGAACTCAATATCAGACTGAGGTCCCTCCCCTCCCTGGACCCCACTTTACCCAGCTTCAAGCCCAAATCTCCAGGAACTTTCCATCCTGGAGTTGGCAACCCTACATCTGCAACATCTCCGCTGGCTTCCATTTTAAACTGTTACAAATAGCAGATCCTGGAGTTTTTCTATCACTCCTCAAAAGAGCCCCCCCCCCCCGATTTCCTTTGTTTGATTGGGTGTGGGTTTTTTTCACTGGCACTTTTGGGGTGGGGGTGTTGAAGCTGGACCAGGAGTCCTCAACCTTTTTGAGCCTGCAGGCACTTTTGAGACAGGGTGGTGAAGCCAACTACAAAATGGCTGCCACAGGCGGTGAAGCCAACCACAAAATGGCTGCCTCAGGAGGTGAAACCAACCACAAAATGGCTACCGCAGTCAGTGAAGCCAACCACAAAATGGAGGCCTCAGGAGGTGAAGCCAACCACAAAATGGCTGCCTCAGGAGGTGAAGCCAACCACAAAATGGCTGCCACAGTTTCCTTTCAGTTACACGGTGAAGCTTTTTGCATTGAGGTGGCAGCTTCAGCCAAAGTGACATTTTTTAAAAAAATCTCCACAATCAGATCTCCCATGGCCAATCAGGAGCCTTGCTGGGCAAATGCCCACCTGGGGTCACCCACTTTCTAGAAACACTTGGCGGGCAATGTAGCACCCATGGGTGTCACATTGGGGATTCCTGGTCTGGACTATGGGGAGATGCTGGTTCAAATCCCATCCCTGGGTGAGACAGAGCCAGTCACTTTCCCAGCCTTGCCTGCCTTGCAGGGTTGTTTTGAGGATAAAATGAGCTCCTTCGAGCAAGGCAGTGGATCGCAAAAACTAACAAGAAGAAAACAAGTAATCTGGGGCAAATGTCAGCAAAGATAGCTTTGCGAAAATTTGTGTTGTCATAGAAGCGAAAAACTGCTTGGAATGGTTTGTGTCCTTTGCGCTCCAGTACAAGTGAAGACACACTGCCTCCCTCAGGAATTGGGAAGCGAGAGCCAGCGCAAGGGCCCTTATTGCCTCCACAGGGAGCCAAGCGCCAGGATAGGCAGCTGAGGCCACTGGGGTGATGCTGCAACATGCCAGGGCCATTGGCCAGGGCCAGGGAAGGGCGCGTGGGATGTCCTGGCCATTTGCCCAGTATGTACCTGTTGGGCAGCGCCGTCCTTCTGTCCAGCAGGAGTTCAGCTCCCTGAGCAAAGAAACACATAGAAGTTGTTAGCACACATGAACGAACACACACACACAAAACTGCCTTACATTGAATCAGACTTTTGGTCCATCAAGGTCAGTGTTGTCTACTCAGACTGGTAGCCGCACTCCGGGGTCTCAGGCAGAGGTCTTTCCCATGCCCTACTACTTGACCCTTTCAACTGGAGATGCCCCTGGGGACTGAATAGGCTTGCCAAGTCCCCCCAGGGGGCAGGGAAACCCCCACCCCAGAGGCCCGTTCCTCACTGCTGTCGGATCGGGCCCCGGTAGGGTTGCCAAGTCCATTTTTCTTGGCGGCGGGGGGCTCCCGGACATAGAGTTTTCCCCTCAGATGGCTGTGGCCCCGCCCCCAGCGTGCCCAGCGTCATCACGTCACCTCTGGCTGACGTGCACGCCAGGGTGGGGTTTCCCCCGGGGCCCGATTCCGCGGCGGCGGCAATCGGGCCTCCAAAGCAGGGGGAAATCCGCCCCCCGAGGGGACTTGGCAGCCCTAGGCCCCGGGGGGAACCCCACCCCCAAAGTACGCGACGTGCGTGTCACCCGGAAGTGACGCAACCACGCTGGGGGGGGGGCACGGTCATCCGAGGGAAAACTCTATGGTTTTCCCTCGGATGGTCGTGGCCCTGCCCCCAGCGTGCCCGGCGTGGTCGCGTTACTTCCGGGTGATGTGGTTGCAGTGCGTGCACTCCTGCAGCAGCGCTGGACTCCCCCCCGCTCCAGCGCCGCTTCGCACTTGGCAACCCTAGGACTGAACCTGGGACCTTCTGCATGCCAAGCAGATGCTCTACGGCCCTTCTTAATGAGAGTGTTAGCGGGTCCAGCTAGAATATTTTGGCTCCTCCAAAGAAAGCTGTCTCCATGAGCCCCTTGCCAGGCAATGCAAGAAGGGACACCTGGCCCCATTTCCCACAGGACAGGTAAGGCTGCTGCTTTCCTGAGGGGGAACACAGGTAGGGCCCAGGGTCCCATCCCACACCCTGGGCACCAGCCAGATGTGAGTGGCAGGTTCTTGTTTATGCCCACAGGTGTGGCGCCCTATTAGGTCCGCATGTATGGAGAGGAGGGTTCGGACTTCCCCTCCAAGCAATATTCCCAACCTGAATTTCGCTGATGGGCCCAACTGTAACCCCTCAGGAAAAGGAGCTGAAGCTTCACGCAAGCCACAGTTGCCAACTGCATGGGGGGAAATGTGTGCAGGAACTGATCAGACCCCACAACCCGCGCCTTGCTGTTACTGATGCAGGACTGTCACTCCCCAGGCCCAGTGGCGGCACTGTGGAAAGTGTCCCCGGGGTGCCAGGAAGAGCCGTTTGTCGCTTCCCCCCTGCTGCGAGGCCTTGAGTCGTAAGTGCTCCTTAGCATCCCCTCTCTGTAGAAAAGGGGTTTCTGAAACAAACCTCTCCAGAGAAGCATCCACGGGGGAAAGCCCCTCAGCACCCCCCAACCCAAAGCAGGAGGATTTTTTTTGGTTGAGGCTAGGTAATCCTTACTTTTTCTTCTGTTGTCTTCTTTTCTTAACTGGTGAAAAAGGAAAAAGAGAGAGGGGGTTTATCAAAAGGTCATCCAACCCAGCCCAGGCCTTTCATATGCCTTTCATATGCAACATATATTGTTTAGTGTCGTGGTTAAGTGCGCGGACTCTAATCTGGGAGAACCGGGTTTGATTCCCCACTCCTCCTGCTGGATGACCTTGGGCAAGCCATAGTTCTGTCAGAGCTGTTCTCTCAAGAGCAGTTTTCTCAGAGCTCTCTCAGCCCCACCTACCTCACAGGGTGTCTGTTTTGGAGAGGGGAAGGGGAGGGAGATTGTAAGCCACTCTTGAGACTCCGAGTGAAGGGCGGGGTATAAATCCAATCTCTTCTTCTTCTAAACAGCAAACACAACCTGGCTACACCACAATCTGGTAGGCTGCCACCAATCCTTTGATCCATCTCTCCAGCCAACAGCCAAAGGATAAACTCCTGACCTTCCCA